TGCATAAAATCATGCGTTGATCCAGGTCAACCATCAACATCGACTTCAAGGCCAAATCGCTTTGGAAAAAGGAAAACGTTCGGCGTTTGGAAGGTGTGGTGTATTATGAGCTAAATCCAGGATGAAACCATTAATACTGATCGCTACCGACAATAAATAATCAATTTGAACTACACTTTGATCGTGGAACAACCAGAATGTGCCAGAAGACACGGCAAAGTAATTTTGCTTCATGATGACATACCATCACACCAAAACCAGTTAAAGACACGTTAAAAGATCTTGCCTGGGAATTATTAACCCACCCGCTGTATTCACCAAACCTTGCTCCTTCAGATTACCACTTGTTCTGATCAATGGCCCACGCACTTCAAAACGTAGCAAGAAGTGGAAAATTGGGTCTCTGAATGGTTTGCCTCAAAACAAGAGAAGTTCTATTTGGACGGTATCCACAAATTATCTGAAAGATGGGGGAAATGTGTAGCTAGCGATGGACATTACTTTGAATAAAGCACTTTTGATGTTTCTGTTGAAATTATTGTGTTTTCTTTGATTACAAAATCCACATTATTAACCAGTACATCTAGTTGCCATTTCTCCCCCACCTCCCCCTACTCCTCCTCCTCCTTTCTCTCTTTTTCTTTATATCCCCTCAAAGTCTTGGGTCATGTATTTGATGGACATTAAGGGAGAAACTGACAGCAATGCTGTCATAGTAGGGGACTTTAACACCCCACTGACATCACTGGATAGATCTTCCAGAAAAAAACTAACAAGGAAACAGAGGCCTTAAATGGCACACTAGATCACAGGAATCTAACCAATATTTACAGAACATTTTACCACAAAGCAACAGAATATATACTTTTGTCCAGTGCACATGGAACAATTTCAAAGCTAGACCACATGTTAGGGCACAAACAAATCTATATAAATTAAAAAAGACTGACATAATACCAAGCATCTTCTCAGATCACAATGTCATGAAGTTAGAAATAAATTACCATAAAAGAACTAAAAAACACTCAAATACATGGAGGCTAAAGAGCATGTCACTAAGCAATAAATGAGTTATTAATGGGGTTAAGAAAGAAATTAAAAACTTCCTGGAAAAAAATGAAAATGAACACACAACCACAAAAAACCTATGGGACACAGCAAAAGCAGTCCTGAGAGAGAAGTTCATAGCACTACAGGCCTACCTCAAGAAACAAAAAAAAAGTACTAATGAACTATCTAAATCTACAACTAAATGAATTAGAAAGAGAACAGCCAGAAAACCCCAAAGCTGAAGGAAGGAAATAATAAATAACAGAGCAGAAATAAATAACATAGAGACTAAAAAAAAATACAAAAGACCAATGAAACCAAGAGCTGGTTTCTTGAAAAAATAAACAATATTGATGAACCCCTAGTGGTCGGCAAACTCATTAGTCAACAGAGCCAAATATCAACAGTACAACGACTGAAATTTCTTTTGAGAGCCAAATTTTTTAAGCTTAAACTATATAGGTAGGTACATTGTTATTAATTTAATTAAGGTACTCCTAAAGCTTAGGAAGAGCCACACTCAAGGGGCCAAAGAGCCGCATGTGACTCGCGAGCCGCAGTTTGCTGACCACGGCCCTAACCAGACTCATCAAAAAACAGAGAGGACCCAATTAAATAAAATCAGAAATGAAAGAGGCAATATAACAAGGGACACCACAGAAGTACAAAGGATTATAAGCAAATACTATGAACAACTATATGACTACAAGCTGGACAATTTGGATGAAATAGACAAATTCCTAGAAACATATAATTTTCCAAAATCCAATCAGAAAGAATCAGAAAACATGAGTAGGCCAATAACAACTGATGAAATAGAAGCAGTAATTTAAAAACTCTAAGCAAATAAAAGCTCTGGTCCAGATGGCTTCACCTAACATTAACACCTAACACCTAACAATGTTAGGGGAGTTTTACCTAACATTCAAAGAACAAACATCTATCCTCCCCAAAATATTCCAAAAAATCCAAGAGGAAGGAACACTTTCAAACTCTTTTTATGAGGACAGCATTATCCTCATACCAAAACCAGATAAAGACACTACAAATAAGGAGAATTACAGGCCAATATCCCGATGAACATAGATACTAAAATCCTCAACAATATATTAGCAAATCGGATCCAGCAATATTTTAAAAAGATCATGCATCATGACCAAATGGGATTTATACCAGGGATGCAAGGCTGGTATAATATTCCAAATCAATAAACATGATTGATCACATAAAAAAACTGAAAGAAAAATCACAAGATCATATCAATAGATGCCAACATAACACTCAATGGCAAAAACTAAAAGTGTTTCCCTTAAGAACAGGAACCAAGACAAGGATGTCTTCTTTCACCACTCTTATTCAACACTAGAGGCCTGGTGCCCAGTATATGAAATTCATGCACGGGGGGTGTCCCTCAGCACAGCTTGCACACTCTTCAATCTGGGACCCTTCAGGGGATGTCCAAGGCCGGTCTGTGGGATCGGGCCTAAACCGGGAGTTGGACATCCCTCTCACAATCCGGGACTGCTGGCTCTTAACCGCTCACCTGCATGCCAGCCTGAACCCCCTAACCACTCACCTGCCTGCCAACCTAATCCCTCTAACTGCTCTGCACTGCCAGACTGATCCCCCTAACTGATCTCCACTGCTGGCCTGATCCCCCTAACTGCTCTCCCTTGCTGGCCTGATCACCCTAACACTGCTCTCCCCTGCCAGCCTGGTGGCCCCCTAACTGCTCTCCCCTGCTGGCCTGATCGCCCCTAGCCACCTCTGCCTCAGCGATCTTTTGCCATGTTCTCTCGCTAGGTTCTGTCTCTAGATTCTGTGTCCTGTTGTCTTGTTACATCTGTATTTATACCAGTTGATTCCAATCCTATCAATCTCTATTCCAAAGGTTAGGGTGTTTCTTATCTCCATTCCAGGGAGTAAAGATTATGTAGCTTAAGCGTGATTGGATAGCACTTCTGCGGAGGCAGGAGAGGCTCGTGCCACCACAGCGCTTGCCAACTGTGAGCCCGGCATCTGGCACCCAACGGTCAGTTGAGCGGCACTTCCGCTGTGGGAACGCACTGACCAACAGGGGCAACTCCTGCGTTGAGCGTCTGCCCCCTGATGATCATTGCACATCATAGCGACTGATCAACCAGTTGTTTGGTCATTCGGTCTTTTAGGTTTTTATATATATAGACTAGAGCAGTGGTCGGCAAACTCATTAGTCAACAGAGCCAAATATCAACAGTACAACGATTGAAATTTCTTTTGAGAGCCAAATTTTTTAAACTTAAACTATATAGGTAGGTACATTGTTATTAACTTAATTAGGGTACTCCTAAGGCTTAGGAAGAGCCACACTCAAGGGGCCAAAGAGCCACATGTGGCTCGCGAGCTGCAGTTTGCCGACCACAGGACTAGAGGCCTGGTGCACAAATTCGTGCATAGGTGAGGTCACTTGGGGTGGCCTGTGGAGATCAGGCCCCAGCTCGCACCCCCAGCCTCGCAGCCACAGCTTGCACCCCCAGCCTTGCAGCTCTGCCTGGCTCCCCGCCTTGGCCTGGCACTGCCCCCTCACCTGCTCTACCATCCCGCCTGCAGGATGATTGATCGGGGCCACGCCCCGCACCCAGTTGCCTCAGCACCAGGGAGCCAGGTGGCAGCCCCGCTCCCACCGCCGCCGCTGGTCACCATCTGCAGGACAATCAGTGGAGCGATTGGGCCCCCTGCTCACACCTGCCTTGGCCTGGCACCACCCATCCACTCACCTGCTCCACCATCCCCCTGCAGTCCCGCTCTCATTGGGGCCCATCAGGGCTGGCAGCACCTCCACTGCTGCCCACTGTCACCACCACATCGTTGATGCCTGCCATGTTCCACGCCACCCCCTGGTGGTCAGCACACGTCATAGCAAGCAGTCGAACTCCCAGTCTCCCGGTTGAACTCCCGGTCAAATGACCACCCAAGGGGCCATTTTGCAAATCAACCGAACGGTGGAATGATCAGTCGCTATATCACGCACTGACCACCCGGGGGCAGGCACTCAACACAGGAGCTGACCCCAGCCTGCAGGCCCCAGGCCAGCCAAGGCAGGTGCCAGCAGGGGTCCCCCCCATCGCCCCGCCGGTCGCCTCCCTGGAAGTGACCAGCAGCAGTGGCGGGGGGCAGGGCTGGCAAATGGGCAGCACCAGACTGGCCAAGGCAGGTGCCAGCGGGGTCCCCGCTCACTCCACTGGTCACCCCACAGATCGGCCCTGATTGCCGGCCAGGGCTAGGGACCCTACCCGTGAACAAATTTCGTGCACCGGGCCTCTAGTAATAATATAATAATATAAAGGTGTTATTTTTTAAATGTCACTTACGTTACGAAATCATGAGTTTATTATTTTACTCTTTAAATGATAATATTTTTAATTTTTCAGTTTTAGAAAACATGGTCAATATAACATAACCCATAAAAGCTCTTTGGAGCTGTTGTGCCCCAGCGGCCAGACTCCTCCTCCCGCACGCCCTTCAGGAGCCTCAATTCTTAAGAGAGTAGAAGTGCCCCAAGACCCAAGCTTTGAGAGTTGCTGGTCCAGCAGCTCAGGTGGTAACTTCTGGAGCCAAAATGTTTCCCTTGAAACCTGGCTGCTCCACAGATATATTTAAAAAAAGTAAACTACTAAAAAAATAAACTATGCTAACAAACTTAGTGTTTGTGATCTCAAACAAATTCCTTGGCCTCTCAGACTCAAGTTTCCCCATGCTCTTCTTTTCTTGTCTGGTGACTGAATAAGTGGATCCTCATTAAAGACTTATACTAAATCTGGCAACAGTGCCCTTACTGTCTGCATGCCCAGAGCATCCAGCCCAGTATAACTGTCCACAGCAGGTATAACCCATGTTTTCTGAATGTGTATTAAATATGGGATATGGAAGACACCAAAAGAGCAGCTTAAGGCTGCAGTACTTTTCTCTACCTGTCAGCCACATCCAGGTCAGACTCCATATTGTCCAGGCTGCTCGTTATGCTGTCCAGCTGCTCACCCTGATAGTGTAGGACTCTGGCTGCATCTTCTAGACGCTTCTGGGAACAGGCCATTAGACCAGTCAGCTCTTTCCCCTTGGTCATGCGGGAGGATGACGCCTCCACAGCACCTCCTGGTTGAGATAGCAGCAACTCTCTCCAGAAGTGTTCAATGATATGGAAAACGACATTCCGATTAGGCTGCAAGGAACTGAACCAGTGCTTGACATGGCCCTTTTCCAGGATGGTGACAGAACTGAAGATAAAATGAGAAGTTTCTTTCTTGATCTCAATTATATCAGCAAGAGGAAAGCTGACAAGAAAGTCTCCAGTTTTATCAGTCAGAAATTTTAGTGAGAGTGAAGTTAACCTAAGTTTTCCAGGAACCCATCGCTTCTCAAGTTCCAAATAATAGGAGCATGGCCAGGTGTGGACGCAGAAGTCTCTGCTCATCTGGTTCCTGGGTCAGTCTCCACCAAGGTCAAGACCACCCTGTTCTGAAGGAAAAGGGACAAATTAATGGGTATGTCAGGCTAAAATGTATCATCATACTTGACCTAGAGACACTAGGACATCAACGGCAAGGGAATGGTTTGGATTCAGAACAAACCTAAGACACCAGCACATAGCAGGGTCCTTGCCTAGCAAGAGCTCTCGCCTGAAATGTGACAGGCAAGACGAAGTCTTTGTCATACTTAGCAGAGAGGACATGACCATGTCTCAGACTTGTGTTCTTCCCAAAGCCCCAGGGTCCCCGGGCTCTATGCCCACCAGAACACCCCTCACTCAGACCAGAGTCCACAGCTGGATGTAACTGAAGGAAGAAAACTGCTGGAAACCACTATGCCAAGAGGTGTAATGACCCCTATCACTACACATTCTTTACAAGTTTCTAAGCTAACAAAGAGTCTCCATTTGAAATTTTTATAAACTTAACTTCACAGAGAAAAATATTAAACTGATAAGAACAGATACTACACTTGATCTTAGCCAAAAAGCGATCACAGAGAAAATAATCTTACAAACTTCTCCACTCTTGTAACTCCAAATAGTTTTTATAGGGTTCCATACAATTATGGGGTGATATGTGTATATTTATAGTTTTACTAGAGGCCTGGTGCATGAAATTCGTGCATGGGTGCAGTCCCTAGACATGGCCAGCAATTGAAGCGCAAGTGTCTGGCATGGAAAGGCAGGTCCCAGCCGACCTCTGGGCCCTGGGGGCAACTGGGCCCCCAGGCCCCTACACACCCCGCTCCGCCTGAATCATCAGGCCCCCGACCATCGCTGCTGGTCATCGTCCACAGGGCAATTGGCAGGGCGATCAGGCCCCACTTGCACCCACCTTGGCCTGGCGCCACCTGCTCACCCGCTCCACCATCCCACCATGTGGTCCTGCTCTCATCGGGGCCCACTGGGGCTGGCAGTGCCCCCACTGCCACCTGCTGCCAGCGCCAAGTTGCCAACACCCACCATGTTTCGCGCCGCTCCCTATTGGTCAGTGTACTTCATAGGGAGCGGTCGAACTCCTGGTCAAGGTGGCAATTTGCATATTAGGCTTTTATTATATAGGATAATTTTATCTATAATTAGCAGTTATCAATGCAGTTTGAAAAGTCGTGATGGATTTGAAACAACCCTTATAGAGCATTTAGCCTAACCCTGTCATACAGATGAAGAATACAAGGCCATGAAAGGATGAGGATCCTGTACAAGCATGTCAAACTTGCAGCCCATGGGCAACAATGAATATTTTTGCGGCCCAGCCCATATAACGGTATGTAAGAAACGTTTTAATAAAAATTTCGTAACTTGAGAGAGAAACCAAGATGGCGGCATAGGTAAACACTAGAGTTTGCTGCCTCGAACAACCACTTCAAAAATACAACTAAAAGAGAAGCGGGACTGTCTGGCATCGGTCGGAACTTGAGAACAGCTTTCTCTAGGAGGGGCTTGCAGTGATTACTGGGACAGTGAGAAGCAGAGCCTCTGAGAGCAGCCATAACTGCTGGCCCCGCCCGCCAAAGCCCTGCAGGGAGGCTTTTGCTAGACAGCCTCAGGCAGAGGCTAGATTAGCACCTCCCTAGAGATCCAGGAGCCAGGAAACCCAGTGGTCAGAGTAGGAT